GTTTGATCAAGAGTCAGCTTCTGATTGTCGTGATGCACAGCGAGCTTTGCGCGTGGTTTGCGTGGAAGTTTCTTTGACACCAACCTGGCCAGGTCATGCCCTAGCATCGAGCGGGGGACGCTTAAGTTCACTTCTTCCCCCGTCAAGCACAGCACCTGAAGATCGACCTCATCAACTTCATCTGCTGCACCTTTGTCGGTAGATGATGGATCCTCATAGCCATGTTGTGCACGGGACATTGGTGAGATATGTGAAACCACCAGCCAGAAAAAAATGGTGCTTGGGATTGAAAAAAAAAGTGGGTCCCTGAGTCCATGTTCCTTGGATATCTGAAAGGTGTTTAATGAACTTTTGCGCAGGCATACATATGTCATATGTCATTACATTTTGCCGCACAGCACTGTATCCTTCTAGCAGTTGTTGCCCTGTCTCTATCACAGCAGGGTTGAGCCAACTGGCGATTTGGGAGAAAAAAAACGGCTCACAGTCCTCCGAAATGACCTGCCATATTTCAGAAACATATGGGGATGGGTCAAACCCTGGTACCCGGATGGTACCCTAAAATAGCTGGCTAATAGATGTTTACTCCCCAAAATATGTTTTTTTTCGGTTTAGACCCATCCCCCACATAAAAATATATAAAAATCATCGCTATTTTCAAGGTCGCATCACCAACATTTGAAAATCACAACCCAGCTGAGCGCCCGCATGGTCGCGGCACATTCATCCTGTTTCTCTCTCCCAAAAAATGCATTTAAACAGCAATAAAGGACAAATGAGGGTCTCCCTAATCTTCCGACCAAAAATGCAAAACTAACATGTTTTGGTACCCCCCATGTCCCACTGTTCCCAACCGGGTCAGCACTGGCCCCACCTCCACCAACGCTCTTCAGGAGATGTCAAGATCACAGCATCGGGAGGAACACATTTCCTCGGTCGGTGAAGGCCATGTACTACTATGACTTTAACCATTGACTATCAAGATTTAAGTATTAAACAATGCCCATTAAAACTTGAGAGCAGGCGGAGGCGGACGAAAGGTAGTGTAGTGGGAGAGGAGTGGTGTCAAAACGCTGCGCCCCTAAGATGATACACCAAAAACGTTTTTGCGCAATCTAAGATGATTTTATCGAGAGCATGACTGCATGATACGGTGTCTTGTGCAGCGTGAAATGATGCACGAAAAGGGGTTTATTTAAAACCCCTTTTTAAGACCCCTTGCAGCAACTGTTATTGAGGCTGAAGCATACCAATTATGCTGGACTACAGGGACATCTCCCTCATGGAAAGTGTGCCTCTAATGTGGGGGCCCGTGACCGCGTCACCCGTGGGAATTGAACCCATGACCATTTTAATTGATATCCAATACATAACGGCGAGAATTCCACGTTTGACCCGGGCTGGCCCCCCAATACCCCTTATGATTGTGCTGAAGCACGGAGAACTCAGGTAGCTGACGCTACCTTTCGTGACATATGGGTAACTACAAGTATTAAAGCTATTTTATACCAAAACCATGATCTACTGACACTATTCCCCAAACAGCGTGGCCACACTGAAGGGGTTCTTACGGTAAGTGTTAAGGCCCGGCCTTCATTCGAGGTGGTATCCTTAGCGTTCGGCATATTCCCTATAAATTTCAACATAAAAATTGCTCTTGTGGCAGGTCCATGTGCATTTCGACTGCGCAGGCTCGCACGAAACGGTGTCCTCGGCCGGGGCGTCCGGCATTTTCCCTGTAAATTTCTGCATCTCTTGTGACATGTCCATGCGTATTTCGGGCGCGCAGGCTCGCACAAGGGACCACTTGGGCGCGGCATTTTCCTTGTAGATTTCCGCAAGAATGGTTCTTGTGGCATGTCCATGTGCATTTTGGCTGCACATGCTCGCACAAAACGAGACATCTCGTACAGAAATCTTGCCAAGAGACCTCTTATAGGGAGCTTGCACAGAGATCTTGCCAAGAGACCTCTTATAGAGATCTTGTTCAGAGATCTTGCCAGGAGATTTCTTACAGAGATCTTGCCAACAGAGCTCTTATAGAGATCTTGTACAGCGACCTGGTGAATAAAGCAGCGATCTCTTCAAAAGAGATCTTACTTTGAGATCCCTCACAGAAATCTTCTGTGGAGATCTTATAGGGAGATGTCTTCAAGAGTCTTGCCAAGAGACCTCTTGTAGAGATCTTGTACAGGGATCTTGCCAGGACACCTCTCCTGGAGACCTTGTACAAAGACATTGCATAGAGATCTGTTGCGAAGATCTTGGCAAAAGGTCTCTTACATAAATCTTGCCAAGAGAGCTTCTATAGAGAGCTTGTACAGAGATCTCATAAATAGGTCCTGCCAAGAGATCTCTTTTAGAGATCTTGTCCAGAGGGTCTTGCCAAGAGACCTCGCATAGAGATCTGTACAGAATGTACAGGAGAGCTCTTATAGAGATCTTGTACAGAGATCTTGCCAGGAGACCTCTTATGGAGATCTTGTACAGAGACCTGGTGAAGAGAGCAGATCTTGCTCGGATATCATTTTTAAAAGCGTGAACAGATATCTTACTTTGAGGTCCCTTACAAAGATCTTCTGCGGAGATCTCCTGTAGACACCTTGTGCAGGTAGCCTTACACGGGGATCTTTCGCAGCAGCTTCTACAGAGAACTTGTCAAGGAGATCTTGTGCACAATCTTCCACAGAGATCTTCACAAAGGGAACTTGCAGAATCTTACCTGGTATCTCTTCTTGTCACTACTAGGGTCGCTCTTGTCCTGCTAGCTTGCAGCCACTGATGATTTTAGGTCTCTAGGTCCTTTCCACCTTTCCCTTTAGAATCCTAACTACACACTGTTTGGGGTCTCTTGACGGGATTATACCTTCGAACCGTCTCCTCCCTTTACAGCTCCCCCTGTTGGATCATCTTTTCTTGGCGATTTATGGCTTGAATCCCCATAAAAACCAATAAAACATCAAATGGCAACCATGGGGATTCAACCAAAATGGATTTTTATTGCTGTTGAATCCCTTAACAACCAATAAAAATTAAAAAACACCAATAGCACCATACAATGCCATCCAGGTTGAATTTGCCTCCACTGATCTCCCAATCGCCGATGCCCAAGGGGCTTCTGGTTGAACGGTGGGGGGCTCAAGAGCTCCAACAATTCGGCCTTGGGCTCTGTACCCTCTGGTGGTTTTTTCTGTCATGTACCCTCTGGTACACTAACTTAGCTATTGAAGCCATGGCCATAGAAATAGTGGATTTACCCATTAAAAATGGTGATTTTCCATGGCTATGTTAGTTTACCAGAGGGTAGTCTATTTGAGAAAAAAACAAATGTATTTGAAAACCAACAATCAATGGGAATTTCAGGATCCGATTTATTGGAGGTACCTACCATATATAAGGCCTATGTAAGGGGCTATTCCAACAAAATATGGCCTTACATGGTACAGTACCTCCATTTTAGGATCCTGGAATTCCCATTGAAATATCCAACAATATTCAGAATGGATATTAAATCCGAATGCTCCCGTTTTATATCCTGTTTGTAGTTGTTGGTAGTCCTGGCTATGCATGGCTATGTACAGTATCCCTAAAATCTTCTTTTGTATCGATTATATCCTCAGATTTTGATGATTGTTAGTCAACATTACCAATTAAAATGCCGCCATTACACGCACACTATATATATATATACGCATATACATATGTATGTATGTGTGTGTATATATATATACATTATACATATATATATATAGTCATGTATAATATATACTAGGTATTGGATATTAGATACTAGAGATAGGCAAATAGACATAGTAGATACATTGATGGACAGGATATACAGAAAAGACAGGATAGATAGGCGCCTGCATAGATAGATCACGGGATTGGTTTACGGGAAATTCTTCACCGGAAACCATGGAAATTTTCTCATGAAATATCCGGGGGGATTCCTGTAAATGATGGACCGAAGGTTGATAGATGAGATGGTTTAATATGTTTTGATTCAATGGAAAAACTATTGGTTTTCTATGAACCATCTCTGATCTATGTACAGGAAACCATTGTTTTTCCATTGAATAAAGTAGAGATCGATGAGTCCTCCAGATCAATGGACCCATGGCCTGGGTGAGCTTCTTCTCTGCCATTTCTGGAGATCACAAAGGAGATCCTCGGCGTCGACCCGAGACGACTGGCGAACTGGTGCTTTTCCCCAGGAGATTTCACCATCAAAAACTGGAATGTCAAGCTGCAAAAAATACACAAAATCGGGATTTCACCAGGTTTTTCACCAATTTTTCGGAGACCGAAACTGGTCTCAATGATTTCAACCTCAAAATCGGCGACCACATGGATTTCACCAGGTGTTAGAAGAGCGGATTTCACCATCCCATCATGATTTTGGCGAAAAAATCTGATGGTCCTCTGAGAATTGCTTGGAATTTGGCACTTTCCACACCTGCAGCACACCAAAAATCCAAGGGACCGCGGTTCGCGGAGTCGCGCTTCGCAGGCAGCTAGTCGCGGGAGTCGGCTGGGGCTTGGGCCAAGTCGCTGCAATTTCGCCCCCAGCGATGTGAATTTTAGGGGAAATACTGTATGTTCAGAAAAAATCAAGATCCATGGTCAATCAATTGGAGCGGTAGCCACCTTAACATGTGATGGTTTTCCCAAAGCCCAAAATTGGATCTTTCCCTGGTGGAGTGACACTTCTCGGCTTATCCAAGGAAACCCTTTAGAGTTTCTAAGTGGGGTAACCTTTGGTAAACAAACATGGCGTGCTGGAAAATCACCCATTCGGCCTATTCAGTTCAATGATTTTCCCATTGAGACCTCCATCCATAGCAAATGTTCCCATTAGAACCTCTATTTTCTAGATAATTTTCCCAGCTACAATCCCCCTTTTATAGAGGATGTTCCATTGCTGCATGAATTTTCAGTGGACCATGATCCATTGCATCCACATCCCAGCGCTGTCTCTGCTTTTTCGGCTCAGTTCGGGCTCAGTTCGGGGAGCGCATCATGTTGAATTGCTCCTGCAACATGGATTAGCCATGGCTTAGCCTCTGGGAAAAAAAATCACACCTCGACCCCAGAGACCCCAGGATTTGGAAGATGAGTTTCCACCATCCCCTGGAGGGATGGAGCAATCCACCATTTTTGCCGATCATCGTTTGTACAGAAGACTGAAGCAGGCAGAAATGTAGAGATTTACAGATATTCATATAAATATACCGATCTACATATATCTATATTTATTTATTTATTTATTGATTTATTTATTTATTTATTTATATCATATATGTTTATTTATCTTGGCGTTGATGGCTTTTTGATATAGCGGCACCAAAATAAGATCCTCAACGCTCCGCTTCGCAACATACCGCGGCTCCTCATCGATGATGCCCTCCTGTAACATACCGCGCAAACGCCCCAAGAAGCCGCGCGTCAGCTGTGCCTCCAAACAGCTCGGCCGGGGAGGGTAACAGGGGGGGGTTGGCTGGTTTTTGGATGTTTTTGTTGGTTGGGAACCCTGGCAAAATAAGGAAAAAACAAGGAATCAATATGAAAATATTGGGATGTCATGGAATATCATGGGAAATTTATAATGGGATATCATGGGGTATGAGAATCATGAGATATACTGAGTACTGGGATATAATAAGATTAATAAGGGTGATTTCTAATAAAACCCTCTAGTGAACATACATAAACCATCTACTGGAGGGTTTCAAGTCCACTAACATGGCCTAGCCCATGGTCCCTTGAGTTCGCTATTCCTGTAGGAATAGCATGGTGATGATGGTGATTTCCCATAGTTATGCAGTTTATGCAACAAGTTGATCTAAACCATGTAATATTGGGGGGTTCAACTCGGGGAGTTCGACATCTGGGACACTGGTGATCCTTAGTTTTGATGAGATCTCGCATCAGTGGGATCAGATTTGCCATTTTTGGGCAGCCTTTTTGTAGCGGTTCAACGGTTCAAACGGGTAAAAGAAAGCAATGCCCAACAAAAGAATTTGGGCGTGTCAACTTGCCATGCGCAACATCGATGTGAAGCAAGCGCGCCTGCGTGTCACCCTTGCACCCTGAACACCAAAAGAGCCGGTAAATGTTTGGATGTTCATCCCACCCCAAAGAACAAAAAAGCACAAAAGTGTTTGAAAATAGAGCGGTACCCAAAAACATCATCCGCTGGTGTAATCTCAACCCCTCAATAAAACGGGGTGGTCTACCCCCACACCTGGCGACCATCTTCCACTTGCAAATGGCGAGGAAGCTGATTTGGGGCCTCGGCATCCGGCAAATCATGTCACCATTTGATGGCAAGGAAGAACCCGAAAAATATCATAGTCTTAGGTGATATGTTCATGTTGCAATAGCCATATAGTGCCATACATAAACAATATATATATATATGTACTTATAATATATAAGCATACGTGATCATATGTGTATATACTGCATATGTATATGAGTATTTGTACTTATCCTGTGGAAAGACAAGCAACGCGAGCCAAGCAAAGTAAACAACCTCTCACTGAAGTCAAGTTGAGAACTCCCCACGAAAAATGTGCAGTCCGAGCCCTCCAAAAACCTCCCCAACCCGGCGGCTGCTAGGTGGAAACACCTCAAATTAAAGTTGTAATTCGAGCTGGGGCATGGTGTATCCTATGAAATGTCCATCATATCTATAACATTACCATATATTACCTATATTTCCAGTTCCATGTAGAGATATAAAATGCACGCGTATATTGTTGTACGAGAATGCCCGGCTATGACTCCCACGGCTCGCCTGAAATTCACCATACAAACGATGCTGACTCTCCTGATCAGGCAGCTGCATCGAAAGGGTTAGCATGGTCCCTTTCCAGAAAAACAATGGCACAACCTTGAAAACCAAGATGGAGGCCTAAAAAAGGCAAATATGATATATGATATATATATATATATATGTGTGTGTGTGTGATATATAGTGGCATGATGATCTTTCAGACCCATCTGGAGGGTTCAGGTAGTCTGACTGCGTCAAAAGGTGCTGCACTTTCCGAAGCCGAAGCCCTCGTCGTCACCGGGAAGTTACATGGCAACCGTGTCGTCAGTCTCAACCAACCACTTCAAAACAGTAATGAATAAACCAGCCATGCCTTGCTGCCTGGGAATGGTAAACGAATCCCACCTATATGGTGATGACTGGCCCTCCGCGTTGCCCGCGTTGCCCGCTCCTGACGCCGACCTTCTCCCAGCACAGTGCCGGAAGAGCTCCTCCGTTGGGGCTGGACGGTGACTCAATGGGAATCATGGGAGTTGCCATGTCAGTATCCATGGTATGTTGGGATATGGGGCCACTACTGGTTGATGATGTACCCTCTGGTAATTAACAGTTCGCGAACTGGAAAGATCCACTATTTATAGCTGGGTAAATCAACAATATCATGGTCCATATGTTGGGGCCCATGGGGCCACATCTTTGATCAGTTGGGGCCCATGGGGACACGAAGATCACAACAACTATGATGATGTAACCACTTAGAAACTCTCTGGAACTACACCCGGGTCCTCTGCTGATCTGAAGGTAGTTGAAGTTCCAGGAGGTCGTTGAAATACTCCCCTGTGCCAAACATCAGCCGTTCGCAGCTAAGGGTGGAGGAATGTACAGGGTATCTGTGTAATTACGGCCCATTTATGGATATTTTGATGGGAAAAATTAAATGATAAACCATGGAATTTGTACTTGTCAGACAAAAACCATGGAAATGGCCGGAAGGCAATTGGCCATACACCACAGCCTAAAGTGATCTTTTTTTAATCCGCAAAAATTGGAAACGAACAACCAAAAATTAGAGGTTAATGGATCAAACTATGCTCGAAGGACCAGATTTATCTCCTGAAGTTTGACCAATACTGCCGTGTTGTTGGCCATGTGGTTTCATGGATGAAGCATCCCGAGAACTGGAAAAATCATCATCCCTGTTCGGGGAGAATTCGAAATACTCAAAACACCGGCTCTTTCTACCCCTATCTCTCTTACATGTAAATATATATATATATGTATGTGTGTGTGTAGATATAGATATAGATATCATATTATCTAGTATAAATATATATTTATTTATTTATTTATCTATCTATCTATCTATTTATCTATCTATTCTATATATTATTTGGTGATTCAATCAAGTTGGATCCCCATTTGATGTGGTAAAGCCCATCTTGCCCCAGATCCCCAAGCGGTACCTGTGAAGTACCTGGAGCCACCCAAGACCACCACTGAGCGGCGCTGTGGGATGAAGGATGCAGCGAAGTGACTCCGGAGATAGACCTGGCGCCGCGGCCTGATCCCCATGGGCCCCATGGACGATGCGCTCTGGGACTCAAGGGATGATCCAACCGGTAGCACCGAGGGTTGAGGATGGCACCTCCGCAATGTGTTGTTCCTGTTCGAAGTCCTTAGGGCAGTGCAGGTGTCAATCCATCTCAGCCGACCCGTTTCCAGGGAGAGCGTGGTAAAGAATGGGATTCTGCTGCATCCCCAGCTGTCGGCTAAATAGGTTTGCCTTCGCCATTGGCCTGATTGATGTTAATCCGGGATTCATACCCTCTGGTAAACATACAAAAAGCTATTGAAAATGGCCATAGAAATAGTGAGTTTTCCCATTAAAAATTGTGATTTTCCATAGTTATGTTAGTTTACCAGAGGGTAAACCATTGACTTATTGACTTATTCTGTTTCTCCCTCCCACTTTGAACTTTGGGGGTACCAATTTTCGGAGCAATTTGTAGCACAATTTGGCCCCCATAAACTCGGGGCGATGATTCACCTCGGTTAATGTCGCTGGTTGGCTGGTTGTAGTCCCCAGAATCGTCAACCAACCATAATTTCTGCATTCTATCCCAAGTCTCGAGAAAAATTGGGAAACAACAAAATTTTGGCTAAATCATTTTAAATCCCGACTAAGAAACCATTTAACAAGCATCTAGATACAAAAATAGTTCACCAACCTGACACTGCTCGGTGATTTTACATGCGTGCTCCCAACACCCCAGGTATCAAAGGGATAAATTTGGCAAATGCCAAGATAATTTACAATTTCCTCCCCTTGTAATTAGCTATCATCTACCTACAATGGGCACGAAAATAACCGTTGTCGTGTTTCACTTGAAATTGTCCAACATGTTCGCGAATCAGTTTGATATTCCCATTTATTTCATGTGTTATACCCCATAATGGTATATCCTTTGCATATCCTTATTGACTATTCATATCATGCCAAGAATATGGAGAAAATCCCATTTATTTCCAATATTGGTTCTTACTTCCATTTGTTGCATTACTGTATAGTGGTAAATCCCATTGATATCATGTGTATTCATGTGTTATGTCCCCAGTAATTCTGGATCACCTTAGTTTTTCCATGGATTTTTCAAAAAATCTCCGAATATCCCATAGATTTCCAGATATTTCATGTGTTTTCCCATGGTTTTTCCCTGGTTTTTCCCATGTTTTCCCCCCGTTTTTGCCACGTTTTTCCCCCGCCCTTCTTCGAGCGCCGCGGCACGTCGGCCGCGCTGGAGGCCACCGCGGCCCGGCGGCAGCTCCACTCTCGGGTGCGCAGGTCGAAGACCTGCAGGGTCAGCAAGAAATTCACCATTTCTTCGTGGTAAAATGTGGTAAAAATGCGGTAAAATGTGGTAAATAACTATGACAAATTGGGATAATTGAGAAATAACTATGAAAAAGTCGTGGTAAATCAACTATAATTGATAAATTTGTGATAATTCGTGATAATCACCGTGGTAAATTCGTGGTAAACTAGTGATAACTCGTGATAATTGGGATAACTATGGTAAATAACTATGAACATTTGGGATTGAATGGGACTGCATGGGATTCAAAATTAGTGATCATTAGTGATTGGGTCATTGAGTTGTTCATAATCAGTGGCTATTAGTGATGGTTGTTGAGATCCATGTTAAGATGGTGGTAGATTTTAATAATGAAATATAATGGAATGATGATGGTTGATGAAGATCATGGTTAGTAATCAAATTTCATAATCAAAGGTTGTTGAAATTCACCATCAATTAGTGATAATCCCATCCCCCTAATATTAAACACCCTCCAAATGGTCCCAATTATGTGGAAATTCCCTTCTAAACCGTGGTTTCTAATGGGGTGTGAAAAATATTAGGGGGATAGGATTCTATACATTCATTGGTGGTGATGATGGTTGAATGACGGTGATTCAATGGTTGCATCAATGGTTGTTGATGCTTGAAATCTGGCGGGATGGATGATGGTGATGCTGGTCATTCACCCGAATATTTTTTTTGCTGGTGAAATGTGCGGATGATGAATGATGAATGATGAATATCATGAATGGTTGGTGAATGACATGTTCAAAAAGAATTGACCACCATTCATCATTCATAATTCCAATCACCACCAACCATCATTCCAACCCTTGGTGAATGACATGTTCAAGTGGTGAATGATGCTTGGTGATGCTTGGAATCCGATTGGATGGGTGAAATCCGATTCCCATGTTTTCGTGGTGGATGAAATCCAAAATTCAGAACTTACCAGGTTACCATGCTTCAGAAATGGAATAGATAAACAATAATAATAATATGTATATATAATAATAATAATACTAATAATAAATAATAAATAATATATATATATATGTATGTTAAAAAATGAATACCACCCACTCAAATTGCAATTGTATATGGTTTATAGCCATGGCACTCACAAAAAAAAAAAAAACGGACTGGACAAAGCCGCCAAAGCCCAGTCAGAAATAGTTTTGTGACATGTTTTAACCATTTGCCAACTGGAATGCAAATCTAAGGAAGTTGGTCTGGACTGCAGTGGATGATTTCTACAGGATTCGCACGTTTTTAATGTCATCCTGCCGGTCGGTTGAGTGCGGCACTTTTAAAACATCTTTTGTCCTAGCAGATCCACTGGGAATATGAGGATCTAAGGATATCTAAACCACCCATCAACCGCTGACATTCAGAAAATCTCACGTGCCAAGGACCAAACCCAGGGTTCGTCTAAGCGATTGTACCTGGTCAGGGCTCACCACTGGGCAGGACCAACTAAACCCAAAAATAAACCTACCATTTTCGGGATGGTTTATAGCACTTAGAACCTATTTACGGCAATCTTGGGGTGGTTCATTCTTGGATTTACCACATGATTAAGTCCCTCCTCAAACGAACCAAGAGATAAAGCACTGTCAACGGTTGCAGCTCCGCGCTTGTTACATTTCCAGTCCAATGGATGGTAGCTCTGCCTTTTCGAAATCATTCCTTTCCTACCAGGCTACCACGGAAATCATCTCTTGCTCCATGCAGATTTGATATGATTTGATGTTCAAAGTTCACATAATCATGGAAAGATCCACCATTTGTAATAGGTAAACCATCTATTTCGATTAGGGCCATCTATATCATGGCGAACTGTTAGTCATAACCAGAGGGTACATGTCAATGGATCTATTTTGCTGGGTTTTCCCATTTCACGCACGGTTTCACCGTTGGTTTTTCCCCCCATCATGGCTGTTCGCCATGGCACCAGGATCGCCACAGCCGCAGGCTCTGCGCATTGAGTCCGGTGGCTCCCAACCTCGGCGTTTTACCGAGTTCACCCTGACATTCCCATGACTTTTTTCGGAGACTTCCAGCAATTCTTCGCAAAAAAAACCTGAAACCAATGAAGTTACACAAGGGTTTCTGGAGTCCAATAAGAATACCCACTATGCACATGTTTGATGTAGTGCGCTGACTGTCGTTGCATGGAATATAAACGGCTGAACATGGGCACCCCTCAGCACCCCTGGGGGCTCCGGCATATGAGGCAAAGTTCCACCCAGGAGCAGCAGTTGACAACACCCCAACCTCGGTAGCGCTGCAGCACTTTTGGCGCAAAATAAGTATCCCAAACTGGCACAAGACAATGTGGCAAAGTCAAAGGACTCATTTTACATGTTACATAAGTTACATACATCATTTACCCGCCATCAACCAGTGGTGATAAGATTGACATCAAGTGACATTTCAAACATTTTACCACATTTTACCACCTGTAAGAATGACATGTTGCCATCATAGTGAGATGCACCCTCTGGTAAACGTTTACATAACTATGGAAAATCACCATTTTCAATGGGAAAATCCACTATTTCTATGGCCATTTTCAATAGCTATTTTGAGATAACCAGAGGGTAGTGATGTCATCCATGAGCCACGGCACGGCACGAGGCTCGCCGCCACCGCCCATGGAGGCCGCTCCGGGGATGCAGGGGCTACGGAGGACCAACGCCTGAGGTCGCTCTGAGTGGGGGTAGTGGGGGTAAACAAAACCATGAAACATAGGGAAAATCCATGGAAAATATCCGGATAACCCATGGAAAAGGATGAACATTACTGGAATTTGATGGGAAAATTTACGGAATCATGCAGGATTTACCATGGTTCATGGAAAATATAGGGATAATAATCAATGGAAAATATAAAGGTTTAGTGGGACTTGATCGGGAAAACCATCAAACGGAAAGACGGTAGATGATTATCGGAGTGTGGTGCCATGAGGGGAATAAAAATTCCCCTTGGTTCAAACAAGGATAGTAACGGTAAGTCATTAAACCTGGATTTTTTTTGGAGCCCCAGCTGCCAGCAAGTTACCAAGTTGCTTGCGACCCACCAATCATGAACTGAGTGATGGTCTCCCAGCACAAAAATAGCTATAGAAACAAGATTTACAGACAAGAGTCCTGATAGTGGGGATAGAACCCCAGCAAAGCCAGGATAAGCGACAAAGATTCAAAGTGAAGACATGCATATAACATTTTAGATCTCTATATACACAAAGTAAAGACAATTACATATAACCGGAAAAAATTGAATATCGAATAACGACAAAGTAGTCCCAGTTTCGACAGCTGATCCTCTGGACACATGTTTTCTCCCAACCCCCGGGCGGCCTGTCGGCAATGTGGAAAACCTCGAAGCGACAATGAATGCATCGCAAAAATCTGGGTGCTCTATTCTGAACTCACATGCATACACAACATAACAAAAGAAAACATAACATAACGTAACATAATACAACATAATATTACATTGCATGGAATTGCATTACATATGTCCGTATGGTGTGTGTGTGTGTAGACCAGGTTGCAAACATGTTTATTGAAAACGACACATGTCAGAAATGATAGAACACACCTCAACATTCACAACCTTGCATGAGAACATAATGATAGAAATGATCAAAATACAATCGGCAGAAACACCAGCCACCACGATATTAAGTTCTTTCAGTATAGCGAACATGCACGTGCGTGTCAACAAAAAGCCCGCAGTCGGGACATGCTGAGGGACTCCCATACTTAAACCTGTTTGCATGGTGTTGTTTCTCGTTTTTCAACGGACTGTACAGGTGTCTAGGTAGTCATAAGATGTGTGACGTTCACCCCTCTACAATTGCTACAATATGGTCATATTGTTACATAAGTCAAACAGGAAACATGATCACAAAAAATTGACATCCTGGGATGCTGTATCATGTTCTTCATCACTTTCGCTAACAGCGAGTCTCAATTTTCACAGCGCCGAGTTGCAAAAAGCGTTCGAAAATCATGAGGCTCAGCAGGCTCCTGTGGGCCAGGACGGAAGGATTTTGGCGAAATGAGGATGACCTGCTTATCTGACGAAACGCATCGAAAATAGTGCTGGTTATAAACAAAGCAAATATGTATATGTGCATTAATATTGTCCCTTAAGTTTTATTTTGCATTTCGGAGCACTCCCCAAATAGCAATAAAATCATCTATCCCCATCCGCTGTCTATTTCGCCGGTCCTCAAATTGCCAGGTACTGCCCCCATAAATAAACCTCGTCGACTGGTGCGCTTGGCCCATGGCCATCCCATGGGCAATAAAACCCAAAACATTCCGACGGAGTGACTTGTCGTGACTTGTCGTGAGTTTGTTGATGTTTTTCCAGATTAAAAAAAAACATATATCACATGTTATCCTTATATGTCCTTATGCATTTTATCACCAATTTGGTTGGTTTTCTATCTCCATGTTGGTTAAACCATAAAATCCCATGAAACCACCATGAAATGCCATTAAAATCACTATTTGTTGGTTGATTTCATGGTGGTTTCGCACCTTTTCGTTGCTGAAAAAAGGTGCCCAGTGTGCCCAGTGGCCATTGGCCGTGCACTGCTTGGCAGGCACAGTGCCACACACGAGGAGAGGGCGCTTCACCATCACACTCCAGGCGCCTGGCAGTTGAAGCTTTTTTGGCCCTGATAAACCACAAAAAAACGATGGAAAATCGTGATTTTCATGGCATTTAATGGTGGTTTTTCATGGGATTTTATGGTGGTTTAATAGGATCTAATGATCTAATCTTTTCTTTTTACAATTATGGTTGATGTCACCTTTTACACATCTTTTTCATGGGATTACACATATCTCACATCGTATCACGTGCATCGACGACGAAGGCCAGGAATTTGGTTTCCAGTTTCTCCCTGCGGAGTGGATCTGTTCGCTTGGTTTCGCTTGGTTTCGCTTGGTTTCGCTTGGTCTTTAGACATGCAAAAGTGATACCCTCCAGTGATTGAATTGTGATTTAGTGGGATATTTTAGATCGCAAGTGGTTCGTGGTTTTGCGTTTTTCGTTGAGTAGTTCGTCTACCTTTCCTGTTCACAAATTACCCTCTGGTAATTTAACATAGCTATTGAAAATGCCATTTGATTTCTTAATTTTGAGATATAATTGTGATTCAAGACAATGTCATAAACAACCCATGACTGGGAATGGTTTACATTATCCCACCTATATATTTATGGTGATGACTGGGGGATGGTGCAAATGGCATTGTTTTAACCACATGAATTGTGATTCAATATAACTTCATGGCAACCAAACATGGCCAGCTGGGAAATCCCCAAAAGATACGGGTCCATCTGGTGACTGATCACCCTTAGGCCCTAGTCATAGTGATCGTCATAGCTGTTTTTTGAGAGCAATCTTGATGTTGAAAGAAAATTCGGTGGAAATAGTTCAGCGGTTTCTTTAAGGCCCTGTATAGATACGGTCTAGAAAAACTCATTGATGGTTTATAGAACATATACGGGGCCTATTTAAACCGTATCAATCATCAATCAAAAGTTCAAGGTTTCTGATTGATGGTTGAAAAACCCTCAATTCTCGTCAATTGGGATCATTGTCCCATTTCCACATCATCTACCCTCTGGTTATTTGACATAGCCATGGTATAGATGGCCCATTGAAATAGATGGTTTACCTATTAAAAATGGTGATTTTCCATGGCTATGTTAAATGACCAGATGATGGTAAAGATAAAGAAGAACATAATGTGGTTGAAACAATGTCATAAACTATCCATTTGCGAATGGTTGGTAAACATACCACCTATATATTTATGGTGATGACTGGGGGATGGTGCAAATGGCATTGTTTTAACCACATTAACAGAATATACATGGAACCACCATCCACTTTTAGAAAACCAGCTATTTCAACCATTCAATATGACCTGCGCCCAAGTCATCACCGGCCTCCATGGCAGCGTGGGAGTGGCAGCGAAAGATGCACCTTGGCCCGGGTCCCGTCAAGCACATTGGGAATCCAACCAAGTGTACGCATACAGGATATACACAATCAAAAAAATATACACAATCATATCTTTATATTTAGACTTATATTTATTTACATATATATATATATATTTCCACGTTGCCCACAGCTGCTGCACCTCATAGGTGTCTTACATTCGGCCAAAAAATGGCGCAGCATAGAGCTATGCCGTTCTGACATGTTCTGACCGTATCATTAGGATTGACCCGCCAGCCCTGGGGTTCCCCAAGCCACCGAATGTCTCGCTGAGGTGGATCAGTGTCCGTTTTCCTTTTTTTTGGGCTCAGATGGAAGCCGTAGTCCTCGCCGTGTACGTGTCTCTTTCCATATCATGGTTACTTCGCTGCAGCGGGTGTGATCTGTGGCCGACGTTTCGACCGACGTGCGCGCAACTTTGGGAAGTTCTTCATGTTTCTCGGCTGAACCGTTTGTTGGCACGTTGGTTGGGGGGTGGGGGGGGGTGTAATAACGTCCTGTCGACGACCTTCTTGACGGTCTTCGTGATCTTGCAACATTCAACATCCAACATCCAACACGCTTTTGATGCTACGCTGTGACAAGATCGAGCACCGCAATCTGCTGTGCGCGCACTACTTGAACCAGGAGCCTGGCTTGGAACGCGTTCTTCGAGCTCTTGCCGTACATAGGCAAAAAGCGTCAAATGGATTAACAAGTCCATCGCGATGCTTCCAGAAACCTTTGTGGAACTTGTGACCGCAGTGAAAAGCGCAAAAAAAGTGACTATCAGCTTTTGGGCCGCTGTGGCATATTGGTATGTGCAATGAATTTTTAATGGATCTCCATTTTCCTTGGCGTTCGCAGGGGTTTTGCATCATCATTTTAATGCCTATGTACGGACACTTGATAAAATCGGCAACCCTTTCACGGAATTTGCTTCTTCCATTCTTCAAAACCAACACATGTTGTTAAATTGATGCTTCTCATCGACGGACATTTTTCAAAAATGACCGCGCGCCCCATGATCAACAACTGATGAGTTCACATCTTCAGAAACACAAAAAACATTGGAACAACCCATATAAAATGGACATTTGCCTATGCAATGGATCTTGGAATAAATGATGCTCCCGGGTAACCTAAGGGCCGGAGCGTCATTAGAAATGAGAAGTCCAAGGCTGGCACAACAATTGGTTGAAATAGCCAGTTAATTATTGGTAGAATTAATTCAACCAATTGTCAAGAAACAATTATCTATTTAATTCTACCGAATTGATTCTTGACACCAATTCATTCTACCTCCTGCAACCTGCAAATCAAATGAATCTCCAGCCCAGGCACCTGCCAGATCGAGGGACCAGACATCATTGGTGCATCGGCCCCCTTGCCTCCGACCCCCGAAGATCACGAATTCCTGGCTTCAAGGCCCACTTAAATCATCAAAAGTAAAAAAGATCACCATCTCTAGCTGAAGACTGAAGTCAAAAACACCCCTCCAACCTCCAACCTCCAGGCTACCTCGATTTTTTTCCATGTTTTTCCATATAAAAAGCTTCCAAAGTTGCCAAGCGTCATCCTGAAACACGGTGCCCTTCACCCCCTGCACCGGGCTGGGCATCTGATCCGACTCCACGGAGCCCGGAGATGCCACGACCTGCCAGGTGGCCCTGGGGTCGTCGCCCTCCCAGCCCTCCAGGCACAAGGCGCTACAGGCGTTGTGCACGTCCGAGTGGGGAGCACCACCACCAAAGAAGTAGATGCAACGTCCTAAAGATGGGGAGCTGGTGGAGATTTTGGAGGTCGAATCGACTGCTGACCCATCTTAAAAAGTATATCAGTATATCTGTTGGTTTGGTTTGGAGGGATCTGCAACGTTCAAAATGATGAATATACACCCCAAAGCTGGTGATCAGGGGTCCAAACCATTATTGACATCCATCATCAAATCCCGCGAAATGGTACAGTTTGCTCCCTCCAATATCACCAGAAAAATACCAGAAAACATCCCAAATTCCAAGTCACATCCGCCAACATCAGGAAAAAAAAAAAACAAGTCACATCCCCAAATCATCTTCCAAGTCACATCCCCCATCAAAAAATGGCTGCCCGGAGCAAATAATAATCATTGGTATTACTAATAATAATAGTGGTTATAATACCAATAATAGTGATTATATATGGTTATATGATGGGATTATATATATATAACATAACTGGTTGGTGGTTTCAACCAACCACATCCAAGTCACTAATGGGATCAAAGTCACTTGCGGCGCCATTCATGGACGGATGGCCATGCGGCAGCCGACCCCCCGCAGTGCCGCAGTCCAGGCGCTTCACCACCAGATCCGGACGCGTCGCGACGCCGGCCGTTCCACTGGAGCTGGGAAGGTCCAACAGATAGACCTCGCGCCTGGAGGACATCGAAAAATGCGGATTTTGTTGCCCAAAAAAAATGAGCGCCTCTGCAAAATTCATTGGATTGGTTTAAGGGAAAATCTTAACCGGAAACCCATGGGTTTTTACCATCAAATTGAATGGGCTTTCCTGTAAATTTTCCCAGAGTTGCAGCGTTTTGACGGCACATGACCATCACGCCACTAGCCCAAGAGAAAACTTTCCTACGTTTATATTTTGATGTTCGGGAAAGAAGTAAGTCCAGAGTCCATTCATTCCATTCATTCCATTCGTTTCACTACATTCCATGCGTTCCACTACATTCCATTCGTTCCACTACATTCCATTCGCTCCATTCATTCCATTCATTCCATTCGTTCCACTCCATTCCACTCCATTCCACTACATTCCACTCCATTCCATTCGTTCCATTTACAATCTACATCCAATATCATCAATCCTATCCTTACATCCACCAGCCACCATCCGAGGTGCAGAGGGTGCAGCGCCGCACCACCCACCACGTCCGGGGAATATCCGCCCGCCACGCCCAGCAACCGATCGCCGCCGATCCAAAAGATGTGGGGCGATTGCGAGCCCAACGGGGCACCTTGGACACGATCCAAAGATGATTCAAACATCTCTGGACCAAATTACCAAATGTATCATCCCAACATATCATGATTCAAACTCCTTGAATACATGTGGTAATGGCAATATATTATTTTACATTCAATATATCATTCAAAGTACTTGAATAGCTATATGGCTATGGATCAATACCTATACATACCATTTTTAGGGGGATGAACATCCATAAATCCCAGCTATTTTGATGTGAACTACAGGGGTACTATTGGTTTTGACACACTGCCATATGATTCAAACATCCCAATGGGTTTCGCCTCCATGGCCCTCCTCGTCAGTCAGCTCGGTCCACAGGGCCGTGCCGGCCATGCCGGCCGTGGGGCCGTTAGGCCAGGGACGCTCGGCCATGGAACGGTTGAGATGCCGGCAGACCTGCCGTGGAGCCCCTGGTGACGCTAGCTGAAGGCTAGCCACCTGAACTGGAACTTGTATGATATGATCACTGGTTGGTGGTTGAGCCCTACCCCTCTGAAATATGGTTAGTATGGTTTAATCTGGTTTAATCCCGGATTAATCCCATTGATTTTCATACTTAGTTGCTTAGCTGGCTGGTTGGTGGTTGAGCCCTACCCCTCTGAAAAATATGAGTTCGTCAGTTGGGATGATGACATTCCCAGCTGAATGGAAAGTCATAAAATTCCATGGTTCCGAACCACCAACCAGATCAATATTGTGACTTAAGTATCTTTATGCAAAACCGTTCCGTTCTTTGAAAATTCTACCCCTGCCGTTCCAGACTCCCAGACTCTGCGCCAGTGTGAATCCTATAGTTGTCAGAATGGAGCGACCTCCCCTCTCAAAGATCAAATCCAAATCAAATCCACTTGACAAATATCAAACTCTAGAAAAAAATAATCCAATTGTCCTTTCCCAACTTCCCTTTCCCTTCCCTGCAGCACTGCACCTCCCTCCAATCTATCATCCCCAGCTCACCGCCAGCAGCTCCAGGAAGGAAGCGTTGAGTGCTGAGAAACGGCCTGGGATCCTCCGTGGTGACCATGGCAGCCCCCCGGGCCTCAGGGCTGAAGCTGCCCAGGAAACGCGCGCAGCAGAGGCGGTCGCGCGACAGGGCCAAACGGTGCCAGAGCGCTTGTTCACCCACGGTCTGTCGCCTCACGGCACTGGGGCTACACGGATCGACTCGTATCGACCAAATCATCAGGCCATGGCCAGTTATCTCACTGTTTGAATGGCATCATTGGGTTTTAGAAGTTACACCTTTGACAATCCTTTGACAATCCTTGACATGCGCCAATGGGATCAACTCTGGTTTAGCCTTTCAACCCAGTTCAGGCCGTGGATTCATGAAACATCCGAGTCACAGAGATCGAGAGCAACTGCCCAGGTTGTACAGGGCCCCTTCGTCCAGGCACAACAAGACCCTGTAGTGCACGCATCCGATCAATTCATCCAACAGAGAGGACCCCATGGGTGGCGCACACATCATGGCGATTTGCGAGGTAGCACCGAATGATACGGGCAAATGGAAACGTGTGCCATTGAGATTTGGGTTGATGCAGAAAGGTAAGTTTTCGGCAATGTTTTCTTACAAATAAGGAAGAATGTATTTTTGGCCATACCGGACAAAGCCGGCTGGTGCCATATTCGAGCTGCGGTTTTGCAAAGCCGACCGTGCCACGGTGGTGGAATCGCTTGAGCAAATATGAGCAAATGAACATCAATTAGTGCATCCATGTGGAACTTACATTTTGACAGAAGTTCGATGAATTTTATTGTAAAACAATAAGATACACGAAGTAGGTGCTATGAAGAGGATACGAAGTAGGTGCCTCAAGGTGGAAGTAACATGCGCCATCATGCACCATTGCTTTCAAATGCGAGCTCACACCCTTCACAATTATGATTCCGCATGCAACAAGCCATGGAGCTCACGGATATGCAGCAAAAAAAAACGCATGATGGGAAACAATGATCAAATACCTTTGAACACTTCGGTGTGCAGCCCAATGATGAACACGACATTCGCAATATCAAGCATCAACCAGCCAAACTACGTCATGTCAGGGGTCAACCAATGGCTTGGACGATACATGTTTTTCGAAGTCCGCGGTTTGTTTTTACATTTTTATCGCCCAGTAGCGATTCAAAAACCGCCTTTCATGGGTTTAGTCAATTGAAATGGCGCAACCCTCTTTTAGCAAACGGCTGGGGATGATAACAGAAGTTTCATGGAAACGGAGACAGGACTTCAAACATCTTCAAACCCACTAGGAATCTATGTGTCTACTTTTTCAATGGCGCTTCCAGAAAAGTTCGCCCTCAGATATCCTGCCATGCCTGCTATCCATCAACTTGGGTGGCCTGGGAACGCAATCCAGGGTCCAAATGCACGCAGCAACCAAAAGGCCAAAACTTCAGAGCAACAATGTGTAAAGCAAATTCGAGGGTTGCGAGGTGAGGGGTGGGACAGGCAATCTGATTACAAAGCCCGCCCGCTACAACGTGTTGCGTCCGTCCGTGTTGCAATTGGCTGAGCTACAGGCATAATTACACCCATTGATCTTATCCATTCTGACCACGTGTCAACTCTATAGCCGTGCCCGCAAAGCATTGCATTTTTTTCCTGGCTTGCTGGGGCGCGAGTGGCTCCTGAAACCGACCCGCATGCAGCCTCGGAATTCGAGGCCAAAAGCACAAGCGCCATCTAGTCGCGAAGAACCCCAGACGTTCAAGTTGGGAATGGTGTCGCCTCAAAAAAAGGTGACAGCCTCGGAGCAGCACTACAAAAATAGGAGCGTGGAAATTGGATGAATTTGGAGGTCCAGGGCATCCCAAGGGAAGCAAAATAGGCACAGCAGTCGCATATATCGACGGAAGCTTCAAAGGCAACCTTGCCTTGACAAAGTCATTGCACCGGTTGCGCTATGAAGTTTAAGTTGTGGCTATGGGTTGTACCAAAAAAAATCTTAGATATCTGGCAGCTGGCAGGACTGCAGGTGACAATCCAAAGAGCCCGCCGAAGCAACAAGGTGAAACAAAAAAGTAAACAGGCTGCAAGTCCAAATCCAAACATTTCTTAGCTCGTTCTGCTTTCGTAACCCACTAAAATTTGTTTGGCAATGCTCTTCTGCCTCGCTACGCCACTACAGTGAAGCGCATCTCCTCGAAACTCGGCGCTTTCGGTCTGAAGCAGCCTCAGACCGTGAGTCTGCTGTCAGCGCTTGCATGTTCCTCAGGGTTTGCTTGCACCAGGCATCGCTGGAAGATATCTGGGTGTGAGGCCTTCACTCTGCACTTCAATATTCTGCTGGTTTCTCACAGCTGCAAGTTGTGCGGCCTAAAGGGGAAAGCATGCTTGTTCCACGACATCTTCGATGTTTTCCTCCAACAGCCTTCTGCTAACAGTTTGGTTTGCAGGAGAGCTTGGTCAATCCTCACTTTCCTCAGAGCCTGGGACTGTCGAAAGCTCCCCCTCTGCTGGCCCAAATTCGACAAGCCGCCGCCGCCAGTCCTTGGATTCACCACGCTCTTCGAGGAGAGGAACCAGGGCTTGGACAGCCTGTTGCGACCGACCCCCTGGCCCCGAACGGAGCATGAGGCGGGTGAGCTGGCGTAGGACCCCCACTGCCTTCTCAACGTCATTTGGCTAGCTAAATTTAATCACTAGCATTGCCCAGTTCCTCTGTGCGATTTGGCGGCGCACATGATCTGGAGCCATGTGCGCCTGAAAAGTCATTATTGGTCTCTCAATGATCCCAGCCTCTTCAACTCGCGGAAGACACCTCGGCGATGTCAAAAGTCTCTTTGTGAAACCACCTTCCGATGTTAGGGCTCTGCATATGGGCCCATTTGGCCCAGGGCCGTGAATCAGCCCAAGCTCCTCAAAAATTTCCTTCCGTGCTAATGCTCAAGCCCTGTTGCCTACTCCATCTATCGGGGCGACAAACGGAAGGTACAAAGCCTTCTTCTCTGCTGTGTTCGAGGTTGTGTAAATCCTCGCTCTGCCCTCCACAAAGCCGAAGGGACCGTTGTCCGTCTCCATGGTGCCGAAGCCGAAACTCTGCATCGAAGAAAGATCGGACCATCTCGCTCTTGAAAACAGGGCGAGCAGCATGCAACCAGCAAAGTATCTGTCGAGGAGGGTGCGCGACGAAAACACCATCGTCTCCAACTTCCGCACCTCTTCCACCGTGAGTGCTTCAGTTTGCTGAGTCGGCTCTCTCGTCGCCAGGATTCATCACTCTGCCTTGAAAAAAACCCATCACATTCTCAAGCTCAATGATGGCACCCATGACGCACTTGCAAAACTTAATGGACCAAGTTCTTACCGATGAATTTGCTCCTAGACTTGGCTTCACAATGGCTGAGAAAGTCCAAGGGGTCCTTTTCAGCAAGTGGCCACCAAGGCTTGTCCACCTTCATGCACCAGTTGATGAACTGCTGCAGGTCACGTGCGGGTTTCAGGACAGTTGCTTGGGGATTGAACTCCACATGCATCTCTCGTGTAGGTCAAAAACCCTTCGCGATCTTGATTTGAAAATAATTCCAAGACATGTCTTCCCACGAAGCTAATGCTGTCCAAAATGGTGAGCCAGCACGCCAATCCCCTCGCCCATTTGAGGTCCAAGGCTTGCTTGCAGTCAGTATCACAAAGGGCCTTGACATGCTTTGCAAACATTGGGATGCCGTAGCTTTGCGCCACAGACGAAGACTCTGATGCTTCACCGGTTTTCCTGGGATCCTGAAAACGGGAATGCCACCACCAAAGAGGTGACTATCATAGGAGTCATGCCCAACATCGGGCCTCAGAGCACCAGAAGGTTCCTTCTTCACAACGCTCTCTTTCGCACCAGGCGGATCTATGGCGCCAGAAAGCCCTTTCCCCACCACACCGTCCAATCCAACAGGCCGATCCATTCCCTGCCGAAATTCTGCCAACTGAAAATGGTGACCCACCCTCCATTCCCTTGACAGGAATCCCTTGACAGGAACTGCAAGAAATAAAGCAGGTTTCTCAAAACGACGTTCGAATGAATGCAAGTTTGTTTTCCATGACATGTAAAGCAAGGAAGTTCCAAGAAAATAAATATTTCGTGTGTCTGCGCCAACTGCTTACATATTTGCAGGAAACGTACCAGGAGCATGAAGGGGTGAAACGGAATGACCCAGTAAATCAAGTTTCAATTTGGATGATGTATGACCCCTGATCTAGTTCTGGAGACCCCAATTCGATTTCATTTTTTTTGGGTGGGAGTGAATTTTTACCCGTTTCCCTTCCCAGCATTTTGAATGCATTTTTCCGCATGGAAGTACGCAATAGGTTCGACACGTCAAAACAAAAATTATTTTCGCTGTGGTTGACACGGGCGGTTCCCAACAAAACAATCCAATTTGCGATGATTTGGGGTTACTTACATCCTGGGACAACCTCGCTGGAAGAATAGCAAGGGGTGTTGAAAAGGGTGACAACTAAGCATCATGACCTGTGGGGGTGTAGGGCCCCATTGCGGTAGACGGTTTCAAGTTGGTTGAAGGAAAAATGCGCGAAAAACCGCAGGTTTGGATTGTAAAAACACGGTAAACCAAGCATGATTCACCTGCAATCTTGGCACTGGAGTGTCCAAGTACAACAGAATAATGAGTTATGCCGGGTTTCCGCGCCGAACCTGCTAGTTCCATTTGTGATAAATAGCGGAATTGCGACAGTACGATCACATTCCGGGTTTTGTGATATATGGTGGACATGATAGAACGGATGTGGTGAGCGACCTGCAAGTGGCACAATGTAAAACATATTGATGATAGACGCTATCCGCTATCCATGCGTCGCACGACTTGATCCTTGTTAACCATGTGGCCCTATGGCTCACCATACATCCTAGAAACTCAGGATGACTGACCTGTGGAATTTTTCAACTACTCTGTCCGCAATGGTGTCAACTGCCCCGTGGTCATAGTTATGTACCGTTCGTACCGTTGCAATTTTCTGCTTGGTTTCGCAGGTTGTTGACCGAAGCCGCATATGTTTCAGAGCGCTGATCGAAGTCATTACCGACTATGGGAGGCAATGGCCCGTCTTTGGGCCAAACGCGCGCACAGCCGGAATCATTGAGCACGCTGCTTTCGGACTGCTCCTGGCAAAATGTCCTACCAATTTTACGGTCTAGTTGGCATACTTTTGACGATAGTTTGATTTTGGCATAGCTTTGAGATGTGTCGACATGACAGCTCGGCAAGCCAGTGTCCCTGAAGAAGTGCACATTGACAAATCCTGCGAAGTGTAAGGTGTAGAGTGTGGAGTGTAAAGTGCAGTGTGTGGAGTGCGGAGTAAAATGTAGACTGTAGAGTGTCCATTGTAAAGTTCAGAGTGTGGAGAGTGAAGTGTAGAGTGTGGTGTGTCAAGTGTCAAGTGCGAAGTGCAAAGTGTAAAGTGTAGAGTGTGGAGTGCAAAGCCTATATATAGAGCGCAATGTCAAGTGTAGAGTA